GCGCGGGCGGGGGCGGGGCCGGCGCGGCGGGCGCGGATTGGGCTCGGCGCGGGTCAGGGCCCGCCCGCCGACCCCGCCGCGAGCCGAGGGGGGCGGCCCGGAGCGAAGTGTCCCCGCTCGGCTCGGCCCCCCCCCCCCGACCCCCCGCCCGCCGCCGCCGCCAGCGCGGGGGGCGGCCGCGCCCGGGCCCCCCCGGCCCGCCCCGCCGCGCCGCCACACGGGGCACGCAGGTAACCCCGGCTGCCCCTCGCCGCGCGGGGAGCGGGGGTGGGAGGTGGGGGGGGGGGCGCGACCCCATGGCCTCCCCTCGCCCGCAGCCCCCGTGCCCGCTCCGAGGGGCCGCCCTCCCCTCGCCGGGGTGCGCGGCCGCCCCGCCGCCTCTGCGAGTGCCCCCCCGGTGCTCTCCGGGCCGCCCCCGGGGCTGCCCGCGGAGGGGGGTCCCCGTCCCCAGCCCCCGGTGCGGCCTCGGGGGCTGCGCCCGGCCGGGTTTTTGTGCGCGGGTGTTCGGCGTGTCGTGTGCGAGCGGCGGCGGCGGCTCCCGGAGCGTGAACTCCGGCGGGCACCGAGGCGGTTCGGTCTCCCGGCAGCTCGGCTTGCTGGGCTACTTCCTGTCCCGTTCCCCGGCACTTGTCGGTACTTCCATTCCCCGCGGGAGCTGCCTTGACAGGGCAGCTCCTGCCGCTGTTATCCCTCCAACTCCCTCGCACATCCCGGGAGAGTGTCCTTCTTCTCCAGGAGACATCCCGATTTTTGATGGGTAGCCCGTTTCCCTTCCAAATTTTTGAAGGCGCTTCCTATTGCTTTTGCATTGACCATCTCTGCTCTTCGTTCCTCTCTTTTACATAATTGCGTGGCTCAGCTCTGCTTTTATTATTTTATTTTTTTTTTTTAGGTTTAAGCCGCCTTAAAGGAGAATTAAAAATTGTGACTCCAAAGAATGAAATAAGACAGAAGAGAGAAAACAGCACTCAAAAAAAAAAAAAAAGCCCCAGAAAGGTGATGATTCATTTAGACTCTCAGAGTCATCCCTAGACACATGGTTTGGTTGGGACTGGGGCCTCTTGTTGTGTTTTTATGGGTTTCAATAGGTAGCATTAGATTTCTTTGTTCTCTTAAAACCTACTTGCTGTCGACCTTTTAAAGTTTGAAAGCTCTGAAGCCCATTTGAAGCACAGTTCCTCTGGTAACGCTTCATAATTTTCTAAAATTAATCTGCAAACGTTATTTTGATTATGCATTTCAGCTTCATGTTTTTGTTGTGACTCCCGTCTCGGGAACGTCACTTAGAATTACTTCGCTCCTGGTTGTTAAAAGGGTCTTTTCTTAAAGCCTTTTCACAGGTTTATGAGTTCAACACTGGATTTGCTACTGCTTTGATTCTAAAGTAATTTTTGGGCTGGGTCATGGTAATTGCATTCTGTTGGTTCAGTCAGACCCAACTCCTGCTTGGGTCACTTTTCGTGCGTGTTGTGGAGCTGCGGGAATTGGAATTCCTTTAATTGGGCGGTGTTTGTTTACAAGTCGTTACTTTTTTTGGGCTGAGATCACAGAAGGAGATAATGCTGGTAGGTGCTCGGGGGAAATAATGAAAGGAGTCATCCAATCCAGCGCTGCTGGTAGGAGGAAGGTTCTGTTGCAGGGGGAGGGCTGTTCTTTGGGAGAATTGCGTGTTTTCTGTGATGAGATGAGGTTCTAGGAGAGAGAGTGGGGGGGTGAGTGATGTCAGTCAGCCTTGTGCTGCATCCTGCTGTTGTGAGCTTCAAATGGCGGAGTTTCTGAGCGTTCTCTTGGTGTAGAGTCTGCCTCGAGTCCCTTCTAATCTTTTTCAAACGTAGGTGAGTTGGTTGTTTCGGCAAATAACACCCTCTGGGTGGGCCCCTCTGGTCTTTGTGGTGTTTTCAGAGGTGTCATTGACTGTACCAAAGTGTTGGTCATGGTTGGCAACCAGCTATTTTTGAGCATTAGCTGCAGGAGAAAGGAGCAGGACCTGTTGCCAACAGCCTTGGTCAAGGCTGAATCATTTTTCCAGGAGAGATGTCTTTAGCATATGACAAAAAGTAGCTGCTACATGTCAAGGATTAAACAGAAAATCCCTCTTTAACACAAATGCAAAAAATTCTGGCATTTTGCAAGTGCAGAGAAGAAATGCTCCACGTTGTTTTGATAACCCACCACAAACCCACAAGTAATAGTGGAACGTGTGGACACGTCCAGTGTGGTTGCAGGAGGGATTTCTGTGCTAAGAGGTAGGACATATGTGCATCATTATGAACTTCCCAGTGTATTTGTGGCTCAGCTGTTTCATCTGAATTTGGTTTGTTGTAACTCCCTCTTCTCAACCATCCAGTGCATCTCATGTCAGGGCTGGAGCTTCTCCAGCAGGGTACCCAGAAGTCATGAGATCTTTGGGATTTATTCACAAAAGGACATGTAAGTTCTCATTTGATTCTGGAAGCTCCTTCCTGATGTGAAATGCCAGTGCAGCAGAGTTTGATTCAGATGCAGAGACTGGAACTGAGCTCATAGGAATCAGGGAATTAACTTCTGGCAGAGACTTGCACGTGGTCGAAACAAGGCTCGGAGTTTAACGACGGTGCTCAAGTCCTGCTCTTGATCTCTGGAAGAAATGCAAGCACATTGTAGGGAAGGTTTTAAAGTCTTCAGGCTGTCGGCTCATTTTGGGTTTATTTTGCCTTACTGCGAGTTCTAAACCCTTAAAGGAAATGTGCTGTTCGAGAGACAGTTTTCCATTGTTCCAGCAGTGCTGATAGAACAATATTATCCCAGTGACAATCTTGCTTTAGCCACTGAGGACATCCCACAGGTTTTGTCCACTTGGGTTCTTCTAGGCTGTATTAAATAGAAATGCATATCAAATACACTGACAGAGAGAACATGGAATGGCACAAACTCTGTAAGCAGCACTCAGTTTGGTCATCAGCCATGCTTTGAGTGTTAGTGCTGAAGTGAGTGCTTTGATGTGGTTTGAAATGACCACTGGTTCCTGCCTCTGTCACTCTATGCAGTATTGGTGTTGGGGTTCTTTAATGATAGAAAGTCATGGTAAAATACCTAAATCTTAGTCATTAGCACTTAATAGAAATTATTGTTTTCAAGGCTAAGCTTTCATCTAACTTCTACAGTTGAACACTTAATAGCAGCACCACTGTAAGCTGGAGGAGAATTTGTATTTTTTTGCTTGCTTACCAGAGGATCCCCAAGCTCCCTGCAGTTTGTCAGTGCATGTCTTGAGGGTGGAGGCTCTGGCCATGTGAACCCAGAGCAGCATTATCTCCCGAAAAAGATCCCTAAGGCCTTGCTTTAGCATTAGCATTGAGGTCCTAGATTTGGAAGGAATTGCAGGATTTTACTCACTGAGCTCTGCTCCTGGTTAAGTTTGCCAGTGTCTGGGTGAGGACGGTTAATAGCTGGTGTGCTTTCTGGAGGTGAGGTTTCCTCCAGGTTTGCAGCCCTGAAGTTACATCAGCTGGGGGATTTCTCTGGTTCTCCGTCAGGCCCAGAAGTCAGACCTCCCAACGTGCGTGTGAAATGGACAATCACTGGTAAAACGACACCCCTGTGCTTCACTTGCACCCACCTGCAGAAAGCACACCACCTGCTTATTAGTATGGACCACCACCCCCGCCACCATCCAGGGTGCTGCAAAACACCTGAAGCTGGTGGGGGACTTGCAGATTAACTCTTTTGGTTTATTTTAAATTTAGTGTGTCCAAGCTACGAGATGGCATCGCAGGAGCTCTGAGGAGAAATGTGTAACTTTTAATGACAGCTTGTGAAGAGTGAAGGCTTCTTGCCTTTGAAGTGGCAGCTCCTCTGTGATGTTCTGCATTCGTGCACTGTTAACTCATTGCGTTCAGACCCAGCCATTCCCCATGTGCTGCTTTGGTGATTTTCATCTCAGCCACTCAGATACGTCGCTTGATGTCTGTCTGGGGTGTAGCTTGGAACATCTAATAGGAAATATACTCAGGGTTATAAGGCTCTGTGAAATTTTAATGTTGCACATGTTATTTGCAAACCTCGTGGTTGTGATACGAGAATGCAAATAATTACATAATTGTTCACCTTGTTCTCTGAGCTCCTGATATAGGAGGCTGGGACAGATGAAGGTGATGGTGTGTTTAGTTTCTTTGTCAAACATATATTGACCATTTATAAAATGCCTTTTGAGTGAGAACGCGTTCAGCTTGTTCAAGTTTGGAAATGGGTGGGAGAAGTGAGTTGTGAGACTAACGAGGGCTGATGTGATTATCCTTATTACACAGGGCTTTCTTTTTTCTTTTATTTATTTGATCTGAATGTCTTGGAATGCTTCAACCACAGGCAACTCAGATCTACACTGATTAGGTCTTTGCCAGATACTAAATGTCCTGTGTAAGGGTGCACTTTCCTTGTTGTAGAGAGTTAGGCTGACATCAGGAAATCATGCTCCTTGTTCAGCTCTTGGGTGTGTAATCTCAGGATTTAGGAGTCAGGTCTATCTGTCAGGGCATCTCAGTGAGCAAAATGCTGTATTTTAAGGTCTTGCTTTTGGTAGCAACCTTTAACTCTCTTTAAAGTAAGTATATACATATGTTGGAATAAATTTTCCACATGATGTTTGCAGTGACTTTAAAGAAGTGACACATTGATGTAGAAAAGTCTAAGATCTCTTTGACAACATGAGACATTATCAATAGATAATGAAGATGTTTGTCTTATTTTTATTTAGTGCTGCTCCTACTATAATTATTAGTAATTTAAGCAAACTTTGTTTAGTCATTGAGTGAGAGAGCTTTACTTCTACTAAATATGACTTCTTTTTATTAAAGTTGCAGATCTTACTCTTGCCATATGCAGCTAATTTTCCTTTGGGGGGAAAAAGCTTGTTACTTTTTTAGTGGAGCAATCTGTTACCTTGTCTGTAGTCTGTGAAGTCAGTGCAATTCTAATTTGCATCAGCTAATAAAAAATGTGTGGGTTTTAAAGTGAAAATCATGCAAAAAATTTAGGGGGAAAAAAAAAAAGGTGAACGACTGATCATCTATGCAAAAAAAACAAGGCTAGAAATGTGATCAAATTAGGTCATGGCAGTGCAGTTTTGTGCAGGGCTGGGAGCATTTCTGAAGACCTTGTCTTGCTTTATCTTGGGAAGCAAAGCTCTCGGAAAATGCGCATGAGAGGGATGAAAAGAGCTTTTTTTTTTTTTTCATCCTCCTCTTTGAGCCACCGTCAGGAAAGCACAATTTCGTGTTGCATTAAAGTGGCAGAAATTTTTCACTTAAGCTAAAAGCTGCCCCCTTCACGTTTAACTGCTCTGCTTGCAGAAGGAACGAGGCACAGTTGGGTTTGTGTGATCTGCTGTACAATTAAGGTTTAATGGGTTTATTGTTTGTTGGATTGTGGTGCTCACGCAGGGCAGGACGAGGGGCCTGGCACTGAAAGCTGCAGCCAAAGGAAAGGAAAGGTCAGGGAGAGGTGTCCAAAGAATTAATGGAACAACACCGAGTCCAGGCTGTGAGGAATGATCTGGGACTGATCCTGTTAAGTGCAGGTGACAAGGGAGGTGGAGAAGGAGGGTTAGTCTGAGGGAGGAAGCTGGGTAGGGATCCTGACTGGTGTTGGGTAAACCTTGATACTAAAAGGGTAGTTTGAAGAAAAGGGTGAAGATGGCATTTTGCTTTTATGGTGAAGGTGTCTTCAACTGTTCATGAAACACAACTTGTGTCAGCTGGAGCTGTCACATGGGGGAGAGGAGACTCCAAAATCCAGCTGAAGGACAGGAGTCAGGGCTCTGTGTGCTCAGGTTTTATTCTTTGGGTAGGGAAGCAGAGATGGGGTGGAGATTAAAAAAAAAAAAATCAAAACCTTTACCAAAAAAAAAACCACCCAACTAAAACCCCTCAAAGCCAAACAAAAAATACCACAGGAATGGTTTGGGAAGAACTAAATGGATCCTGAATGTCTTTCCTGGCATCTGACTCCCACGGGGTGAGGTTGAGCAGTCAGGCAGAAATACCTACTTCAACCTTTGCATCCATTCTTGGTCCATACAGGAGCAGATATCTGTAATCCTTACAGAAGAGTTTAGACCATTCCTTCAAGGTTTGCTCCACACAGGAAGCACATCTCTCTTTTCTCTTGTCTCCCAAAAAATACTCTCTGCAGCCTTTTCCTCATCTGGCAGAAGCAAACTCTCCCCACCCCAACCTCTGGAGGACTCTTGGATAATGGAAGAAAACACATTTCAGGGGCTTTTTCTGACATAACTGCATGAAAATGTAGCATTTTAGCACCAGTACAGAACGAAACTCTCGCTTTTATTCTTTGCAACTAATGAGAAATATCGTTTTTTTTAAGGGGTAGCAGGTTGTTTGACACACATGGGCACAGAAGATTATGAACAGTGAAGACAATGAAGAGTGGGACATCCATCAAAGAGTAGCAACCTCTTACAAGGTAATTCAGGACCACATTGAATTCATCCTGTTGTACTTGCAAAATCAATTAAGTGACTGTTTGTTGTCTTCCATTTTCATGGCACTGGACAATCGTTATAACCAAGAATATGTAGGTACATTCTTCCCCCGTGCTTCATTTAGCTTTTTTTTTTTTAACTTCCATGCAGAAAGCCAGTGTGCAACAACCCAAATGCATGCTGTGTTCTGAGTGAGATTGATTACAGTTGCAAAACATTAAATATTAAATGCCAAAGGGCTACTTCTACTAGTCCTCCTTCCCTTCTCCAAAGATTGATGTCTTCAACAGGGATTTGCAAACAGGATTTTTAAGTGATCTACGGAGCCGAAGTGAAAATGTTTTCGAAGCTGGTGTGTACCTAAAACTGTCCTGAAACCTTGAAAGTTATGGTTAAGTATTCTTGCAATTTGAATTTCACTGCTTGCCATAGGGCTGAGATGGAAGAGTGGGTATTTACGGGAACTGTGCGAGTGATAAAAGGAGCTGCCTGACTTTGTCTTCTGCTTTGTGTGTTTTAGTGCTTATGTACTTTAGTACCAGCTAATTTGAATAAGCTCTGCCAGTCACATGCAACATATGGGGCCAATGCCAATTTTTTATAATGCTGCATTACAAATATACCCACCAGCTGAGAAGTGTGAGAGAGAGAGAGAGCTTTGCTTTTCCCTAACCAACTGTCTTCGTGGAGAGTTGCAGGGGGGATACTGCTGCCCCCTTCAATGAGAAATCCCAGTTCACTTCATCTCTTTAGTCCTCCTTCTTCCCTCTATAGCTTTTTGTCCAGCTGCTCTGACCTTCATTTTCAGGATCACGTGAGGTGTTGTTAAGTATTAGCCCTTCACAAGAAAGGACTGTAAAAATGGCAGCAGAAAGTTTGTCTGCATTAACTTCTGAGCAGATATTCTCAGTTTGAGAAAAAACTGGATATTGTGGATAAAGGGACGCAGTCTGAATTATTATTTTTTTTAGGGCTTTGCCATGACTTATCCTTATTATCAGTTAGACTTTACAGTCAGTTTTCACCTGCAAAATCCAAAGCAAGATCTGATTCCTGTAGCTGGAATTTCATTAACAGTGCTGTTAGTGGTGTGATGCAGAACGAAGGCAAGCTCCCTGTCCTGTAGGTGAGCATGTTCTGAAGTGCTAATTGGAGTTTAGAAAAGAGCTTAGCGAAAGCTTATTAGAGTCAATAGAAATACTTCCATTGCCATCAGATTAACCAAGTTTGATTTTTGGAATATGCTGCAAAAGCTGACCTGGTGAGTTAGCAGTCGCTGCTTTGTAAATCCCCTTCCCTTCCAGTCTCAGATAATGAAGTTCACACTGTAAAACAAAACAAAGCCAGTTCCTGAGCCCTGTATAACATGGAGCTGAAAAGTCTTATTTAATAACCCTGTGCTGAAGTAGTGATTGTTGCCATACATGGTAAGTTGGAGCATTTATAAATGTCAAAGACAGGCATGTGCTGTGTGCCATTTCCATATTTGCAGTGTAAGTAGGGTCAGTGGAGCTACCTGTTAATTATGAGTTTATATCTCTCCAAAAAGCAGATAAATAACTTCTCTGTCGAGGTTAGAGAAGAGCAAATCCAGAGCTGTGTCTTTTATCTGCAGAGATGGCAGTGATTGATGTCTTCACTTTCCTCTTGTCTCTGTGTATATCTGGATCCCAGGAAAACAAGTGCCCAGTGGGATATGGGGAGTTGATTGCAATGTCTTTTGGATGACCTGTGGATCATGAGGATCTGGAAATCCTTAGGATGTTTACGTAAAGGAAGGTTTAGGTGATGGTGTGGGTTGACATCCTGATATACCGAGGGTATTGGGGATTCTAAGTTTTGTCTTCAGAACTTTTCTTTGTAGTTTAATCTTGATTAACTTTGCAGCAGTTTAAATACATTCCTCTTTTTAATCTTCTGGTTCTGTGTTAATATCCATTGCAACAGGTCTTGAATGTTCTCTGAGTCTCCTATTGCTCAACATGGCCTTTCCCATACCCTGCTTTTATTCTTTCCTCTGATATATTCCTTTCCATTCTAGGACTGTGGGATATAATGCACAATGTATGTGAAAATGTGAACACTTTGTGTACTGGGGAAGAATCCCTTAAAGAAAAAAAAAAACAAGCCTGTGTTTTTCCTTGTCCCCAAGTAGAACTGCAGATTGGGACTTTTCAAACAGAACATGGAATATGGTCCTTCCCTCTTTCCCAATGTGTGCTTGTTTCTAGGCTCTTTCACAATGGCTATTTTAGATAACCTTTTGGCCCAGCTCTCATGCCCTCTATCAAGGTAATTATAAATTGAACAGTTCTGGCACATGTTCTCATGGTGTTTGACAGGGCTGTAGTAGCTGCCCTTAGAGGTGTTTTCAGGTCTTATTATTATCTTTGTGTTTGATTTTTGCAGTGTAGAAGTTCTTTGCAGCCTTTATGGACTAAGTAAGAAGTGCACAAGCCAGAACACAGACAGTAGACTCTAATTAAAAAAAAAAAATAAAAAACAAGGGTGAAAAGGAAAAAATAAAGTTTTCATCCCCAAACATCAGTGTTACTAATATTCATGTGCAGTAGGTCAATAAGATAGAATTATTTTCACTGAAGCTTTACTTCTTTTATTTTCCAGAAAAATAAAGATTATCCTAGTTCAGTTGCTGTAGCAGTGCAATGCTGTTTCATGCAACAGTTTGAATCATCCATCCAACCAGTATATCTAGAGTTGGTGACACAGAGGTTGTGATTTTTATATGATTGTTGTGTTCTGGAGATTTGTCATTTTGTTATTGATCCGGTGCTTTAATTGTGAAATGCTGTCAGTTCTGAAGAAAATGTTGGCTATTTTTAATGTGTAAATGTCCTCCTCTTTCGCAGTTCAGTGATGTGACCCATGTACTGTGATTTCCTAATAACAGATTGTTTGGATTTTATCCTGTCTGTGACGCGACTTTGGTCAGAATATAGAGAGAATTCTTAGCGTTGCATTTTATTACAGAATCACAGGATCAGCTGGGTTGGAAAAGACCTCTGAGATTGAGTCCGACCTGTGGCCCAACCCCACCTTGTCACCCAGCCCCTGGCACTGATGCCACAGCCAGTCCCATCTTAAACACCTCCAGGGACGGTGACTCCACCCCCTCCCTGGGCAGCCCATTCCAGTGTCTGATCACTGTTTCTGTGAAGAACTTCTTCCCAATGTCCAACCTAAACCTCCCCTGGGGCAGCTCAAGGCTGTGCCCTCTTGTCCTGCTGCTGTTCCTGGGAGAGGAGACTGATCCCCATCCAGCTCCACCCTCGTGTCAGGGAGTTGTAGAGAGTGAGAAAGTCTCCTCTGCAGGCTGAGCCCCCTCAGCTGCTCCTCACAGGACTTGTGCTCCACACCCTTCTTTGAACACACTCCAGCCCCTCAATGCCCTTCCTGAATTGAGGGAAGCCAGAACCGGCCACAGCCCCAACTAGAAACCTCTTTCCTTGTCCCCATCCTAATTTCTTCACGCTTCCTATTGCTCCAAGGTGACGGGTGTGCCCTCATGAGGCTCCTGTAGCAGCCAGATCCAGCTAGGATGTTACACCACCACTGCCGGCGGAACCCTGAGCTACAGGAGGAGCTGCAGATCCAGGCTGCGGTGGCCGCCGGCGATGTCCACACCGTGCGCAAGATGCTGGAGCAGGGATATTCCCCCAACGGCCGGGATGCCAACGGCTGGACTCTGCTTCACTTCTCTGCAGCGAGAGGGAAGGAGAGATGTGTCCGTGTTTTTCTTGAGCATGGAGGTGAGTTGCCCAGGGCGGAAAAAAATCTTGGTGTCCAGTTGCTTTCTATCCAAATTTCCGTTGTAGGACTTCCCAGCACTGACTACTGGTACGGATTATTTCTTGTAATTATTTTAGTCTTTGCAGTAGTGATTCATCCAGCTCTGTTTACCTCTGATGCATGCTCTGAATGAAGCCATGGGTTTGCTTTATGCCTTAACACCTTGCCTTTTCCCCCCCCCCACCTCTCTAGAATTGCCTAGGAATTGTTAAAAGAATGAAAAGCGTTATGAAAATAGGGCAGAAGGGCTCATTATAAAATTAAATGCGCTCGCAGCACTCCTTCCAAGCTTTTCTTCTCTGGTGGGGGGGTATTTTTAGAAGAAGGCAGGTCCTTGAAATGAAATCTTAGGGAAGTTTGTTTCAGATTTCTAAAACAAGCGAGCAAGTTGCATTAAAGACAGAGTTTCCCTGTGCTTTTTAACAGAGCCTGCTAAACGTCATAGAAACAATACTCTGTGCAAGGACTTTAGTGCCAGCTCGTCCAGATGAGTTTACAGATCTCCTGCATCCATCCATGTTGAAGTTTTATTTTCAAGAACTCACGGAGTTTTGTTGATTTAAGTAATACTCACGTGGGTGATGATTTTTATCCCTCAGGTGGCACAGTCAGAATTTCTTGGCTCCTTTATCATCTTACAGGGCTGCCTAAAGTTTTAGAAATGGATGGTTTTAATCTTTGAATGTGCTACTGGAGAGGAAAAGTACAAATCAGTAGGTATTCTCCACATTCTGATTAGTGCTCTTAAAGAACAGCATCCTCTAGCTCAGCACTGTTCCTACCAAATGAGTTCTGAACTATTTTCAGTCCCAAGGAAACTGAAATTATCTCTTTGTGTATCTGAGGCCATATGGGCCCCTTTTTCTGTCACAGTGTTTGTCAGCTGTTTGGATCACCCTGAAAATGGAATGGTGTTCTTAGGCTGTGGTGGTGGCACAACCAGTGGTTTGTTCCTTAAGAGCAGTGGTGAAATACAGCCTGAGCAGCAGGACCCTGAGGATGTACCCACTGCAGATTGTAACCACACAGAAAGGGCAAACCCTTGTGTCCTTATTGGAAAGGGGGAAAAAAAATTCCACTTTTTAAATGTAATATATGTGGATAATCTCAAGCCTTCAGTTTGATAATTCAGAAGTTTAAGGCTGTGAGTCAAACATTAACTTTTAACTTTTTATCTGTGAATTTAAAGACGATTAGAGAAACCCTTCTGTATTGCTCTGTATTTTCCTTTTATAGGTGTTGATGCTACACAGCTGCTGATGCAGTGTGTTGTTGTTATTTTTTGTTGTTACTCTTTCCCACATGAAGCACCAGCTGAATCTGATGCCTCATGAAAACTGCCTGTAATGGAACACCCTTGTCCTGAAGCGGCACGGAGTTGAATCACCAGGATGAGAAAGTTGAGTAACAAATAGTGTGAGGGTTAGTCATCTGCAGCAGCTTTCCTGTAGCTGAGCCTCACTTCTGAAAATTGGCACTGCTTTGTGCCTTGCCTTGTTTTCCCTCAAAACAGAGGCGTAAAAATAATGAGTATTTAAAACATAATCATGTCACAAACGAGTTAATAAGCAGTGAGTGAGTTGACTCTTGCAAGCTGAGTTAATCACACCAGCCTCATTAGTGAGAGGTTTGTGTCTACCTTTCCTCACTTGGCCTCTCCTTTTCTCCCTCTGAAGTGGATTATTTTGCTGTTGATGCTTAATCCCTGTGGACCAAAAAAATATTGGGGTGAAGGAAAAAGTAATTTTCTGGTGTGAATCTTAATGGTAAAGAGAGTATTGAACTGACTATGGATTGGTAATTATGTAAGTAGATATTGGGAGGGAGTGTGTGGAGTTCTGGAGGGAAGAGGGAATTGAGGTGCTGGTGGGAAAGAAGTGGTAATTTTGGATGTCCAAAGGGATGATGAAGCTTAGCTGAACTGGGAATGTTTTCACAGTTCAGGACTGGGAAAACCACTCTGGGTTGTTGCTGAGGGTGGAGTGCTGTGCCTCGGATCCGAGGTGCTGGGAGATTGTTACCAACACAGCCTTGCATGGGAGTGGGATGGAGATGGAGTTTGGCCAATAAAGGCTGAGAGGGAATCTGGTCACTGACCTGGAATTAAAAGGTGGATTCTTAGGGGAGTTGTGACCTGGCTACCTCCTTTTTAGCTTTTGCTTTTTCTCTTCTCTTCCATCACTGCTCAGCAGCAAAGCAAAGAGCCAGAGGACAGTGCTGTGCATCAGATTGGCTGATTCGAGTGGAGGTGGTGGAACAGGAGGAAGCTTTTTATTATCTCCTGAGTGAGGAGACACAGATAGAGGGGGGGGAAATGCAGAAAAAACCCAGTCCAGACTAAAGGATGAAACCAGCAGAAATACCAGCTAGATACAGAGGTGATGGGTCAGATGATAAATATTCTTTAGCAACGGATAAAATGCAGAAAGTTCATCAAAACCATGGCAAGAAATAGTGAATTTGACTTCCTCAGTGTATTTGTCTCGTTTCAATAAAGTGAGGATTCCATGAAGCCAGCTCTTCTCATCCATGGAAACAGTCTGGAGCCACAAAGCTCAACAGGAGAGCAACACAAAAATAGGGAGCGTAGTTTTTTAGTCATCTTGGGATTTTGTGTAACAAGCCTTTTTCCTCTTTAGTGTAATTTTTTAATTTTCAGTATGACATATAGAGACAAGCACTGGCAAACAGCTATGTTTTATTAATTCCCAACCAGCACTGTTAATGTTGCAACAAGCTAAACTCTTAAAAGTGTGTATTGAGCTGTCCCTTGGTGATACCTTCCCAATACAAACTGAGCAGGACAGTTCCTGGTTACTCGTATTAGAGTGAAGAAAAGATCCACTAAAGCTCCTGGAAATGGAAGAATAAAAGACAGAAGTAGCCTAAGAGCCCTACTTATTTATTTTTAGTCTTGGCTTCAAGGTATCTGAATTTTAGTGAGGTCAAGCAGAATCTGGGAGGATCTGGAGAACACCAAATGCTCACCCCCCCAAAGCTCCTGAAGTGCTTCTGTCTCTGAGTAGAAATGCTCTCCTGGACAGCTTTTATATCAGTGTTATCTCAGGAAATTCAAACCAGAAGCTACATGTAGCCATGTTGCTAAACCTTGTGGTCAGAATTAAGCCTTAGTTGGTGGGGGAAATAAGCTTGGAATAATAGAAGTAGTCTGTGAAGCCAGAGCTTTGCTTTCTTGGCTTCCCAAATTAGACTGGGATAGGGTGACCTCAGGAAGACGTCAAGGAAGAGGGGAAACCGTCCTACCAAGCTGGGAATTGAAACTGTGAAATATTAGACTCTTATTTAGGAAACTGTATATCCTCCAGATTACAGTATTGGAGAAGAGTTTCATTAACAATAGAGTTTAAGTTATTAGTTTAGGTGCCCAACTTCAACAGGAAATAAAATAATCAGAGTATCATTCAGTGTTGCAGATTTTCCATCTCAAGTGAGCCTGATTGCAGTAATTGGTACCCTTGGTAAGCAGCTCAAGGTTTCTGCCGTTGTATTATGTCTGATATTTAAGAACTTTAGAAGTGACCAAATGCAGTTTTTGATTCTGCTCTCCCCAAATTAATGGGAAGCTTGGAAGGAAATAATTGTTTACCAGTCGTGATGGAGACGAGATATGTTGGCAAGTTCTGGCTTTAATCCCTTTTGAGCTAATTATACTCATTTTCCAGGTACTTTTTTTTACCCCTCTGCAGATTCTAAAAAGTCAGCTTTGTGATGTCACTAAGGCAGGGACTGAAAGGATGGAGTTTGCGCGCAACTTAATGCGGGTTCAAACTTGTGAAGTTCGAAAGTTTTCCAGGAGGTGGCAGCAGGACATTGCTGGAACAGCAGCTTGTTCAAATCCTTTCCCGAATCCCGGGGCAGACTGGCACTGCTGGCTCACCAGACGTCCATAATCTTAATGGGAATTACAGCGTTTTTTCACGAGGTTTTTCTGAGGGGTTTGTTTTTGGAAGGTTGTTTGTGTTGCCTGGTTGCCCAACTGAGAGGCTTTTTTTTCCCCTGTCCTTGCTGAGATGGCTCTTCTTACATGAGTGTTTTTGTGGTTCACTTTTAGCTGTCAGAACCAGTGACATTTTGGGAGTAGGGAAGGCGTGTGCAGAGTGCTTAAAACAATAGGTAAAGGGCATCTTTATGTTGCAAGGGAATTGTTTGGCTTGGATTATGAGTAGTATAAAAATGCACACACAAAAGTTGGGGTGTATCTGCTTGAATTTGGAAATGGCAGTGACTAAACTTAGGGCAGTGTCCTGCCCTTGGGGTGGAAATGATTGACTTACATGCCCTGTGCTGCATGGGGGGAGCAAGGAGGCACAAGATGAATATTATTTCTATTAAAAAACTTCTTTTTTGGTGGTTTTCCTGCCGAGCATCCATTACTTCAGCTCAGGTTGGTGTGACTTTACAGAGCACTCAAACAAGGAAAGCTGTCACCAGCAAAAGACTAAACTTTCCTTAATCTACCTCGTAGTATTTCTGTGTTTATTCCTATTCTATGCACCAGAGGCAGTTCTCACATCTTATTTCTCTCTGTAGTCAGGCTGTGTTGGTATTTATGTTGGATTTTTTTGTTGTTGTTGTTGTTAATTCATTTTCTTCTCCTCAGACTTCACTTTACATTTAAAAATACCCTTAAAGTTGCCTGATCACCTTTGCAGCTGTATTTTCAGCTGGTTCTTGCCAGCTTTTTTTATTTTGGTGTGATGTTTATCTCAGGGTTATCTGGGTACGATCGCAGGAGGTTGGGAAGCTTGTTCCTGTTTTGTGTTAGCACCTTGGTGTGTTCAGGTGTGTTCACCCTGAGGTAGCCTGCAGTTAATTTTGTGCTGTGAGCTTAACTAAGAGCAGATCTGCTGGTATCTTGTGCAGATGGTATCTGTCTTGGATTGGGAAGGTGTTCAGACTTCCAGGAGCAGCATCTACGGGTGGGAGGTTTCTCTGGGCTGAGAAATGGCACCTTGCCTTGGTTGATTAATTAGTTACTTGCTATACGAGTTTTGGTGTCCTGAGGAAATGAAGTAAATCAGTAAATCGATTTATTTTAATTTTTTCAAAACCATAAATCACTGTGAGTTTTTGTGCTGTGTTAAGGGGAAATCAATCTGGGTAATTACCTGTGTTCTGCACTGATGTGCACTCCTTTCAGAAGCGGGTGCTTACACTCTCGTAAAAAGAAATCTGAAATTTTGGTGAAACTTTATATTCAGAACAAATCCTGAACAGATTCTTCATCTCCCAAAAAAAAAAAAAAACCAAAACTTTATCAAGATAATCTGAAAAAACATATATCCTCCATGCTTTGGAAATCCTGCAGACCACAGAGCAACATTTTACCTAATACAGCATTACACCCTAAAAACAATCCAGCGCTGCCAGACCACAAAACATCCGCAGTTTGGGACAGCAGATGTTTCTACACATGCTTCTTTTTAAGCCCAAGAAGCAGCACAGGGGAAAATAAAAAAGCTGAATATTGAGAAAGAAATGTAATATTGTAGAGCTGGAGGAAAAGGGGATGGACAGGGAGATTTGAGTAATTAGCCCAAGAGTTACGAGGAAGATGTGGAAATGCATTTGTCAAACGGAAACATACGGATATGAAAGGAAAAGACTTTTTTTGTGTGTGTGTGTAAATAATTTTTAAGTAAAATTTTAACTTTGTCTTAAAAATAGAACAAAAAAAATCCTGCCATGCTCTGCCTAAAAAGAGGGAAAAGCAAAGAGTTCTGCCTCGTGTTCTTGTTACCTTTATTTCAGGAAAAACTGGGGTTTTTTCCTAGTGCAAACGATTTGAGTCACTTCTGTTTAAATCTCCTTCATGTTCCATGTACATTTAGACTTTTACTTTAAAGGGGAATAATTTAAAGCAACTTTGTTCAAGTGGGCTTTTGCAGGACTGCTTATTGCCATTTAGTCTGTTGTGAAGATCCTGGTTTGCACTCCATGGTGTTACACCCTAATATTGAACCTTAGGGTCATTGTATGTGAGCAGCTTTACAGTATGTACTGTCTATTCTAAATGCATTGAACAATTACTGTTTGATATTTTTCCTCTCCCCTTTGCCTCCTCTCCCCTTTGCCTCCTCTCCCCTTTGCCTCCTCTCCCCTTTGCCTCCTCTCCCCTTTGCCTCCTCTCCCCTTTGCCTCCTCTCCCCTTTGCCTCCTCTCCCCTTTGCCTCC